GTATTTCATAACTAAAACGAAATGTAGTTAATTAATAAATGAAGGAATAGAAAGGCACGTTAACTCACATGGCTTATGATCTTTTGCCGTTAGTGCTTAAACATTGTGACGAGTGATATCACTCAGCTGCACGTCAGCTTCATTTAGCCCTTCATTTTGGAGTAATTGTCGTTGAAAATTTCTTCATTTTCTTCTTTATTAAACCTATATAGCATGCTTGTATATTTTAAGTAAAAATGAAATTTTATTGATAGCAAAATTATTATTATTATTATTATTATTATTATTATTGTCGTTTCTGATTTTTAAACGAAACAGTCTCCGTGAACTTGAACTCCAGATGTAAATACGCTTTTCATTCATATTTATGTCTGGCTATATTCTAATGCATTTTGGCGACGAATCAGAAACTGCACGGTACAACCCTAAAACCAGCAGCTGAGCCAAGAGTTAGAGACGAATTTTTAAAAAAAACTCCAAAACACGAACGAAGTGAATGCTATTTCTATTATTCAAAGTCCTATTTAGAAAAAGTGCATCCGGTGTATTTTGCCAAACAATAGAAAGGTTATAAAAACCTCTTGTTCTTCAAGGCATGGATCGCAGACTTTCAATGTGGGCCATAACACAGGATGTGTCTTCGGCTGCAATTTCTGGCATCAAAGAAAAGGATGGGCAATCCATACACACAAGGAACGGATTTATTCCCTCTGCGGTAATTAATTAATTAATTAATTGTGATAAGGATCTCACTTTAATTTTTGGAATGGGATTACAATAAGGATTACTCTTCTAAATTACAGTAATTTTATCTACGCTATACAAAGACATATGAATTAAATTGAAGGATGAATCAGTATGTGTCTGTGATCTACGTAGTGTCAATGCTTTCATTGTGCGTATTTTGGGGACTTTGAATTCTTTCATATTATTCTATTTAGTATTATTTTCATTTTTATTTGACAATGCCTCTCGACAGTTATATAATAATAAGATTGGTATAAAATATTAAAGCAATTATTGCACAAACATTGCAATAAAAACATATATTGCTGTTGCCTTTTATTATTCCATCTTCGTATATTGTAATAGTTCAAAGGAATTTTTAGACAGATTTATTGAATTATAGCATAAAATAAATGAAGAATAAATAGCTTCCGACCCATTTGTAGGAAACTTATATTAACATTATATAGAGAAATTCTTCTGTTGCAGATACATATCATTAAGATTAAAATGCAGTAGTACTTAGTGGTACAATGTAGATAGTATTTTTACGATTAAAAATAAGAACTGATGTGTGCTAGCCATACCTTTTCCGACTACTTGAAGAGAAGTACATTTCTGATAGTATACACATCAGTTAAATCAAGAGACTTTTATGTGTTAAATCTCTTATACTACATAAGCATTTGTCTTATAATATTGGTTGTTTCGTCAATATAATTTATTCTGGATTCATTAAATCTAAATTTCTAATCCTTTCTAAATTCAAAATTATTTTTACTTCAAGTAAAGTAAATAAATATTATTATGAATTTTATTTCTTATTGTAAATTAATGTACGGTCTAAAATCCTAAAAGAAAATGCATTGATATGACTTTATATTTGTGATTTTACTATTTTAGGGTTAAAAATAATTACGATGAAATAGTTCTGAAAATCTAAAAGCATTAAGAACAACTAATTTTATGCCTTGAAGTATGAAAAGAAAACGGTGAATTCTCTTTTCCATATTAAGTACCAATTAAAATCCTGCACTTTTGATTTTTTTAGAATATTAACTAAACTTTATGCATGATTGACATCTTGAGTGTGTATATCAAAAGCTCTTTTCTATATTTTATGCATCTTCTACATACAAAATTATTATTACAGGAAAAATCAAATATTTATAGAAAATATAAATGAGTGTTTTTATGTGAAAATTAAAGCACATCTATCAAATATGCTAATGTCCTAAATGTATGTATGAGTATTAGTTACTTAGTGCATTTATCAAGTATGTTAAGATCATAAATGAGTGAATATTTCAGATGATCCTAAATTTATTAAATCATCGAAAAGATTGTCTAAAATACATCTAGATATAAAATTTCACAAGCAATTCAATTAATATGTAAAAAGCAATTTACATATATTTTAAAAATATTAATTAATAAATTAGTTCTAAAATAACATGCATGGAAATAACTTGATCATATTATAATATTACCAGATGGTGGAATTATATAACTGAGAACTGAAAAATATGAACCTCCATCTTCTATCCAAATATTTAAATCCATTCAGTCGATTGCTTTTTCGCTATATGAGCTGTAAAATTAACTAAATACAAATTAATAGTTTTACTGCTTACTAGAATGCAAAATTCAACCATTATTACTTTATAAAGAAGGTGCAAAATTTTTCGCATAAAAGGATAACATGAAAAATGAAAAATATTATGTCTCACAAATTAAGATAAAAATTTTTCAATAAATAACATTATTTTTTCATAACTGATTTTTCATGACATGTATGAAATACGTCTGTAATACTTCTAAAATGTATTATTTATGTCATGAAATACGTCTGTCGTACTGAAAATAATAGGTGACATAATATTTAAAGTGGCAAGCGGTATTACGCAACTAAAATTCTGTCATGACTTATTCTTAATGCTAATAACATTTTTTGTTTTTCGAATAATGTAACTTTTAAATATACTAAGCTAGAAGTAACTATACCAGGCTTTTTTAACACTGGCAGTACCTTTGTTAAATTGGACCGATACAGAAAAGATGGCATGAATTCGTATAATCGTTCTACGATATTATAGAAGCGGTTCCTTAAACCAAAGCATCACAAAAAAGCAAATTAGATAAATTACTGAAAGAAATGTGAAAACTTCTATCTATAAAAGATCTGTTTTCTATCATAATTTTGAGGTAACTCTTTAGTCTTCGAGAACTGGAAGAAAAACGTTCTTACTTCCGTTTCCTCCCGCAATTTCCAGCTGGAAGGTGTATTTTTAGTAAATTGTGCCGCCAAGACACGAATAGAAGCGTACGAGTCTCAATTTTCCGACCATGTGCTATATTCTAACGCCGTTTTTTTTTTTTTTTTTTTTTTTTTTTTTTTTTTTTTTCTAATTAGATATGAGTACCCTTATCAGTACCCCGCTTTTCTAAAATTCTAACTTATTCTAAGAGTTTCAACGAACTTAGTGTCATTAATGCGAGCTAACTTTTCTTAATATTTTTTTTTAATTTTACTTGGTTTCGCAATTTAAGAAGCTCATTAAAATAATGCGTTTGTGATAATAACGTTTTGCTTAATAAGAATACTTAACAATGCTATGAAATCATAATTTAATATTCTTGTAATAGTAAATTCCGGTCAAAATCAAAAATCAAGATATCAGTTTAACTACCACTGTGTTAAATTTTCACTACAAAGATTGAGTCCTGTAAAAGGGCTTAGGAGAAAATTTAAGTTCTTAGATCTATTTGTATTCTCTCTTCCATAGCCAAACTTTAAACTTTTCCTCCTATACTTACTACACGTATTGCAGCGAAAAAAGGATAAACAAAAGGAAAGAAAAACAAGGGAAAAAATTTAGATAAATTTTTATATTATAATTTAGCAATAAATATTAACTCATAGCATTTTTAAAATATATTCATATTTTAATATAAACCTAAAAGGAAAATTATTCTTTTTTGCTAGCCATAAAAACCTACTTACACATGATCTTTACCTCTAGAGTTGTAGAGACATTATGTATTTTTGGAAGCAGGCAAGATGAAAAAATATGCAACGCCTTCGTCGGGAATCGAACCACGGACCTCTGGAATACCGGCCCAGCGTGCAGAACCACTACACCACAAAGACACGCTAAGAAAGCTGGAGAAGTAACTTACAAGCAAATATCTTCAAATTGAGCTAGTCTCAATCGGTTGCGATAGTAGTAGTGTGTGTGTGTGTGTGATTACGGCAAAGCCTCGAGGACTATCTGCCTAAGGGGAGGGATGCCTTCGTGGAGAACTTTCTAAGGGAAACTGGCTCGTATACACGTTACATATGGGGAAAAGCACGAAAACGCCCATGCAGCCAGCCCGTTCGTGGGATTCGAACCTCGGACCGAACTACCAGTGTTCAGTGGCTTTACCGCTCTTCCGCTGGTAGGCCCTACGCGATAGTAGTAGTTGGAAAACTTTATATTAATCCCTAAATATAATAATTTGTTTCTATTATTTTTTATGCTTTAATTTTTGATACTCACTCATCTATATTATAATCTCACAGATAATTTCATAGCTACCATAGCATCAGAAAACGCTTATACTTCTCACGTTTTCCTCTACAATTTATCAATAATATAAATTAATGGGAAACTTTGTATAACCTATGAAATTATATAGTATTTAGTTATCTCAAATATCAATATACTTTAATATTAAAGTTCAGTGAAAATAGTATTTTATTAATAAAGTGTAATCCCATCTTATATTATACTACTTCGAAAATATTCTAGTAATTAAGCTTTGAAATGCATTAGCTTGTAATGTGCAGATGGTTGTATTTATGCTGCTGCATTTTCTACATATACAATGACTTACTTTACTGTATTATGCTATTAAATAGTAATTAAACTGTAGACACATTAGGTTATTACAGATGTGACAAATGAGCAATGCGCTCGCCGGGACTTGAACCACGGACCTCTCGAATACGCGCCGAGCGTGCTGACCATTACACCACGAAGGCACGCTAAGAAGACGGGAGAAATACCTTACATAACAATTGACCGCAGTTTTACTTATTGGAGTCAATTATTATTTTTGTAGGTTATATTTCTGTTAATTATTTAGGCTTTTCTTTTATTCAAATCAAAATATTAAATGGTATAGGATAATGATGACGATGATGCGTGAAATAAAAAAAAAGTTTATTGTAATTTAATATTTCATCACTGCTTTTTTAATAAAGAATTTTTCAATTTCTTCTCTTCCAGACTATCGAAAAGTTGCCTGACAAAGTGCTACTCCAGATCTTTTCGTACCTCCCTCATAAGGAAGTAGGACGACTGGCAAGGGTATGCAAAAAGTGGAGAATGATATCCAGTGATTCCAGGCTGTGGACTCATGTCTCGTTGAGACCAGATGTCTCGGGGCTTCATGTGACCAACATAGAAACCCTCTTGGCTCTCATTGCTGTGAGATTCGGTAAAGATGCATTTCTTTCATACCGCAATGCGCCCTTAATTATGAAACGTCAATACTTTCGTATAGTTCAAAAATAACAGACTAGGTAGAAAATAAATAATAAAAGTGGATCAGAAAAAATTATTCATAGAAATACGGTTCATAGTATACGGCTGTAATGTGAAAGACCTTTTTATCCTACGTAGTATATAATTTTCTGAAAGAACAAATCCCCAAAAATGATTTGAGTAAGTTTTTCAACCTAAGTATCAATTTGTTTCTTGCTGAACGAATTGAATCCTAATCCTCAGCTTCCAAGCCATGATTACTAATGTTTAATAAAAAGCAATTCAATGTATGATACAAATGTGGAATAGTTTCTGTTAGAAAGTCATCCACTAAGGCAGCAATTCTCAGTCGGTAGTAAGCAAGAGAAAAATAGGTGGTACGCAAAGAAACAAAGCATTCTTAACTATTAAATTCAAAAATTAAATACCCGAACATCCTGTTTAAGTTTTTTCTCCAACACTTTCAAATTTATGCGAACTGAGCTTTGTCCAAGGTTCTCAAAGGCTTTAACAAAATAATCCTTTTTTAGTTTCACAAATATTCTTTTAGCCATAGACTATAAGATATTTCTCCCACCTTCTTGGCGAGCCTACGTGGTGTAGTGGTCAGCAGACTAAGCGCGTAATTGAGAGGTCCGCGGTTGGATTCCCGGCGAAGGCGTTGCTAATTTTTTATCTCTTCTGCTTCCAAAAAGTGCCCAATGTCTCTACAAGACAACAAAATTTTATCATATATGCTTTTAAAAGGAGTAATAGAAATGGATGTTTTATTTTATAGGAAATAAAAATAAGTTACTATAAAAAGATAATAGTATCTCATTAATTCTTTTAGAGTTGATTTATTTATTAGCATGTCTACACTTTCCGTGGCCACCATTTCAGGGCTCATAATGCTCTATTTTAAATTATATATATATATATATATATATTTTTTTTTTTTTTTTTTTTTTTTTTTTTACGTCGAATTGCTGTCTCTAACAGCAAGTATTTTATCCTCTTGTTGCTTTGACGCGATTTGAAAATATCGTCGTTTGTTTTTGATGAACTCGGAATATATCGCGCATTTAAATATTTGTGAAAGAATACTAAAACAAACCTAGATTTTCAAAATAGAAAAATGGCTAAGATTAACAAAGCTGAAAAGTGATGATTCACAGGTTTATGGATCCAGGACAATCCACTAGCGCTAAGAATACTGAAAAGAAAAGAAAAATTGTTTAAAGAAAATGTAATGAAAGTTATTTATCATTTGGGTTTCACTGGAATGGGAGAGGAAATGTACCCTCAACCTCAATGTGTTATTTGCGGAGAACTATTATGCAATCAAAGAATGAAACCATCGCTTAAAAGACATCTTAAATCTAAGTATGCCGATTTAAAGGATAAATGTGAAGAATATTTTAGTAAGAAATTATCACACTTCATAAAAGTAAACAAGGAATGAAAATCTTTGTTACTTTATCAGGTTCAGTGTTCCTCCTTACTTGCTTGGGGAACATTAAATGACCTGACTCGGAACAGGGAGCTTACTAAAGCTATGTTCAATAAATGTGGGAAGTAGACAAGATACACAGGAAGGGTATACGAAACCTTTTATTTTTCTCTCTTTACAATGATTTCCGGACTTCGGAATACAGAGACCAACCACTTGTGGTCTGAACGTAAGAATATAAAAATATTAACTAAATTCTAACTAAACTAACTTTGGATTAATAAACAAGTGTCGACTTGAAGATTGGCCGTATATCAACAGAAAGGCCGTATGTAGTACAGAGAACTGTTAACACTACGATACGTTTAAAATTATCAAGAGGATTAAACCTCTGGCCTCGAAGGCAACCAGCAACCGAGTAAAACTGCTAAGGCAAGCGGCCTGCTTCTACTAACTCCTTCCTCTCTTTTGCTTGGCAAAAAGCCACAACTTAAGTACTTGGCGTTCGCCAGACAAATTTGCATAAATAAGTTAAAGCTTTTAATTCTGGCCGGAAGTAGAAAATAAGAAGTGATAGTAAAGATTTAAAATAAAATAAACGTTAGTAAAACTTAAGATCCTTACATACTTCCCGCCAGAGTTAATTAGTTTGAAACTGAGGTCTAAAACGACCTTGTTGAAAACTTTTAGCTCTAGAATCTAACGCGAGGCCAATCTTTTACAAACATTTCTCACTAGAAACTAGAAATTTTAAAAAAAATCGTTTTTACATTATCAATTCCTATGGACAATTACTTTTCATCTGTACTGCATCTAAACAGGAGCTGTTAGTTGAAATCTGGTTCCTTCCAGAGATCTGGAAGGAAAACTAGTTTAATGAAATGTTACACAATTAAATGGCAAGTAACATGAATATTTATATTTCTCTTAACATTCTTATTTCATTCATGACTATTTTAATTATCTCTCCCCGTGCTCTCTGACATGTGTTGTAAAAGAAAACACCAAACACGAATGTGTTTATGTACAAGTGTTCAACACTACCGCCTGCAATCAAAACACTAACGTGTTAAAATTCAACATAACAAGACCTCATAACACACCTTATATTCATCTCTAAACCCTGAGGTACTATTCTGAAAGTGGCTAACTCTGAAGTGTAGCGTCAGAGAGCCTAACTACATTCATTCAACCTTTAACACATATTCACAATAATTTTCTCTTTTTACAGTCACACGAATAAGTTAAAATTTTTTGGCATTACTTTCACTTTTACCATATCACAGTATTTCTTAACATTTAAAATAACAGTTCACATTGTATATAAGAACATATTAACATGCCGTTAATTTTACGCATTTTAAAACATACATTAGTAGTACATTGTTAACTTCTATTCTTTTCCAAGCAAGTGCCAATTCTTCTACATTGAAATACTACATTTCAAAAGTCTTTCAGACTAAAACTTCTTTCTTGCCAGAATGTTTTAAATAAAATTTTTATACAATAACTTTTACAATATTCAAGTATTTACACATTCCTATTATACATTAATTTTAGTTTTACTCGCGAGTAATTGAAAAACATAATACCAAAATAGGTAACAACTCATTTCTCGCCTTTTTGGCGATAAAGGTAGACCTCACATGAGGTAAAACGTTCTTGAATTCTGCCACTTGCAGTAAGAATGAAAAAGATATCTGCCTAACTTAACTTTCTAAGTTGACTCGTAACACGTTAACATGGGGAAAACCACGAAACGCCCATAAGCCCGTTCGTGGGATTCGAAAGACCGAACTACCAGTTTCAACTTTACTCTTGATAAGTTTAACTTAAGGTTGCAAAGTAACATAAAAATTTACTTATCTTTGTGATATTCGGACATTCTTTTTTCTGCCCAGTCCTGGAAGGTAGCGAAGATTAGCGTTTGGTTTATCTTCCTTCTTGTGCGGGCTCGCCCTTCAGTTCCTTCCTCTATGAGCTTTCTTTTCCTTCCAGTTCGGTCACCCTTGAAGACCTTCTTTTTAGCATCTGCTTGTGGTCTCGGCCGTTTGATGGCAGCTGGTCTTGGCGGAACCGGGACAACTCTCTCTCGTTCTTGCCTGGATCTCGTTGCTGGCTGTTCAAATTTTTCTTGCTTCTTTGCATCTGCAGCTGGTCTTCCTTCATCAATTCGTCGACATTTGCTGCGTAGACTCCTATCCGATGGGTAGATCTTCCGTTTTGGAGCCGTGTTATAGTTGCCGTCATTTCTCCTGGCTCTCTTTGCATTAGTCGTACTTCTCCCTTCTTCATTCTGGGGGTGGTCGTGCTTCTCTTTTCTGGTCGGTGGAACGGCTTCTTTTTCTTGTTACCTTCAATTTTCCAACGGGGAACTTTCTTTTCAACTTGCTCCTGTCTACTAATGGCTTGCCCTTGTGATTGTCGTTGTTCCACCTCTGGAGCTTGTGCCTGCCTGCCGTGCCGGATCCTGCAAAAGATCTTGAAATATTTGCATTTTATTACGATTATAAAATGGTTTTATTGGTCAACGTTTGCGGTGCAGGTTTCACATCACCATTCCTGGCTTTTAACACTACTACAGCCTGAGTTATTTTTTTCTATGACATATGGTCCTTCAAATCGTGGATAAAATTTGGCAGTTTTATCTTCTGGTGCTGAAGAAAGTGAATGCTTAATTTTTAACACTTCATCCCCTACTTTATAAGTTACTCCCCGTCGTTTCATATCATAATAAAGCTTCTGTTTTCTCTGTGCTACTTCAGTGTTCTTTTTTGCTTCTTTAATTAATTTTTCTATATCACCCATTTTAAATTCTGGGGCTCTTTGTTGAACATAAAATAATTTATCTAACGGCGTTATAATCTTTCTGCCTAAAAATAACTCAGCAGGAGTTTTGCCCGTTGTATCATGTTTTGCGGTCCTAAGGGCGAAAGCAAATTCATTGACATAGTTATCCCAGCTTTTATGAAAATTTTTAACATAACTACGGATAATTTTCACTATATTTCTATTGACCCGTTCCGCTATATTTGATTGCGGCCGATACGGGACCATTTTTAAATGACGTATGCCCAGTTTTTGGCACATGTCTTCAAATATATTACTTACAAATTGAGGACCATTATCCGATATAACTTTTAGGGGCGCCCCGTATTTTAAAATATATTTATTTAAAATAGAATCAGTAACTAATTTCGCGGAGGCTCGTTTTAAGGGAACAATTTCGGTCCACTTACTAAAATGATCAACCATAACAAGGAGATAGCGACTTTTATTTAACTGACTTTTTGGGAAAGGGCCCAATAAATCGATGCCAATTATTTCATTTGGAAATTCGGATTTAATACTATTTAGAGCCGGCCGGGCGGAAATTAATATAATTAACTGCTTGACATGTTGGGCAGGACTGGACATACGCCCTTGTTAACTTTTGCAGCTTCAGGAAAATAAACTGCTTCGCGTACGCGTTGGATGGTTTTTTTTTCGAATACCAGCATGAGAAGCTAAAGGGCTGTCAT